AGCTCTTCAACGGCTTGACTATTTGGGAAGTGGTCATAGTCTCCCAATTCCAGCTCGACCTTTCGCTCCCCCATTACATTCTTGGAAGTTGGTTCTAGGAATTTCAGATAATCTCCACACTCTAGGAAGCGGGAAACATCATACACTCAACACTCGATTGTCTTCTAGTGATGCGAGACTTTTTTTCAGTTCTCGACATTCTCACCAAATCTCTTGGGTGCCATGGAATCCCTCAAAAATTATTTAAAAGTGTGTAAGGGGGAAATATACTTTGCGAAATCCGCTTGGTGTGGAGCTAAGATAGCTTCACCCCCTAATTTATAGGCAATGTAACGATAGGTGCGCTCACCACAGAAAATCAGATTTTAATAGATATACTAAGCGTAGAGCATGCAGTCAGCATATATGCTTAGATTCCCTCAACTGCTAACCATACATCATACGCTAAGTGATTGTGTACATAAAGTACTAAAATTTAAAGGGAATAAATTTAAATAATGGGTTGCCTCCCACCAAGCGCTTCTTTAACGTCATTAACTTGATGTTACTTAGTGATCTTATGGACCACGAAGCTAGATCAACCAAAGCAATACAATATTGACATGTTGATACTAATGCATAATGATATTTAATCGTTTTCATCATGAGTCACTAGCCTTAACTGATGTGCTTAATTTTGTGTTCTCCCTAGGACTCATGTTTTTACTCATCAACTCTTCTAAAAGAGGATGTATGTCAATGATGTGATCCTTGATGTGCTATAAGTAACATGCTAATTTGCATGGGCTAACTTTACAAGTGTCGACAAACCCTACTTCCACGTCTTTACCTATTAGTTCCTCTACCTTCAGGGTGGAAGGTTGACGATGGATATTGACTAGAGCGTTAGGTGGTGGTTCGTCCGGTTGAAAAACTTGGAGACTACTCAAGTGTGTGGTTATTACACCTATTTGAGTTTTCAAATTCCTCAATTAAGCGTCGGTTTTCCGTGGTTAGCTCCATGCATTTTTAAGGGTGTTTTCCAACTTGGAAGTTCTGTCTAGGTAACGGTCTTTCATGTATTACACACCCCAATAAAGGTCCATCTTCCAATTGAGCATATCCAGTTAGTGTGAGAGCATCATATTCTAGGTTAAAAGTGCAGCATGAGATGAGTCGTGGTTAAACGTCTCAAAATTCATGTTTTTTTATCATAATTAAGCTATAAAACTTATGTTGTTTTATGATGATTTCAACTTAATTATGACTTTTTTTTTTGTAGTAAATCATTCTTTGTTGGTTATTTAGTTAGGCATTTTTTTCATAATGTTTTAAAAATCAGATTATAAAATGATTAAATATGTTACTTAAAATTATGAATTTTTTAGAATTTTTAATTAATTTGTATACATTTATATTTAAAGTTTTAGTTTTTAAAGATACTAAGCTCTATAGTATCAGTATGAAAACGAATCCGTTTGATTCTTTTGATATTCATACAACATTTCCGCAATTAAGGTATTCTCTAAATTTAGTTTAATATTTTCACATTTTAGTTTATCCCAGCCATGGATAGTAAAGATTCAAGGGAGAGAATCGGGGCAATTGAATGTAGAAATAAAAGTGTTTGATTTTAAAACGGGGACAAGACGAAGCTTAAATTGATATATAAATTTCATTTTAAAACTAAAACTGATTAATTTTTGAACAGATTCAACTCTATAGAATAAAATATGGAAACAAGTATCTATACTAATATAAAGGGAAAACACAGAATAACTACCAATGATGATGTAATTTGTGTTTTCCTAATTTGCCCTTACTAATTTATATTTTTTACCAAAAAAATCATATAACATATTTTCTCATTTTATGTTCCATGTTTGTTTATGTAAGTTTTACCGTTTTTCCATTAAGGCAATATTTGAACACGACAATTTTTCATTTTCATTTTTTAACATGCAAAATTGCAAATTATGTTTTGTTAATTTTGTTATAGTTATGAAAAATATAATAAAAATATACAAATCAATTATAATTCAGTCAATAGAAAATGGGTGAGTGTCTGTCAACACGCTAGTATAAATAAAAGAACCCTTTCGTGTTTATAACAATATATTGGTAATCATTGATATTCGCTATATTTATTTATTGCTTTGATATTTTACTCTATTCTAGCCATGGAACGTATAAATTTAACAGAGAGAATCGGGAAATTTGAATGTGGACATAAAAGAATTTAATTTCATAATTGTTTTTTGGTATACTTTAATAATCTGTATAAAGTAATTCTATAATTAAAACTTTTAAATTTTTAAATAAATTCAGCTATGCAGAATACAAATATGGTAATAAAAAAATATAATAAATAAAAGAGACGTTTGGATAACATTTACAGTATATTGGTTGGTATTAAGGTATTTATGGTATTCAATAAATTTATTTTATTGCGTTAACATTTTACTATATTCCAGGCTTGGAAAATACACATTCTAGGGAGAAAATCAGGGCAGTTGAATGTAGTCAAAAATGTTCAACTACCTACCTATTAGAGATAATTTCAAGATTCAATGTTTGGTGAAATATACGAGTGATTATCTTTCAGCCCATGTTATAAAAGGGTATGGAATTGTAAGAAACTAATGCAAAATATTTCTCACCCTTACACATGTCATCATCTTGTCTTTTTACACTTGTGCCTTTATTTAAGTTTTTACTTAGATATACTTTGATTCTGATACATATAATCAATTTTCTTTTGATGTATTTCATAGTTATTTAATTTGAGTAGAGCATTTTTCAATTTCAATTTAGAGGTTTGGTAATCATAGCCTCCCGGGTAAGCATCATTTGAATCTTTCACTATTTTTATTTTGTTTTCTTTTGGTAAGAGAAACGTGTTTTTTCAGTTTCTCTTGTATCTAGAATGCATGTGCACGAGGCAGAAAAGTAACAAGAGCAAAAGAAATATAGAATCTTGAATGTTATAAAGGTTAGTCTAGACACACAGACAAAGACAAATACTTCAGTTCACATAAAAAAGGAAATAAAAAAGATGAAAAATTGATTTCATTTTCTCTCATGCAAAACGATTAGTCATGTAAATTTTTATTTTAAGAGTTTGATTGAGTCCTGTTTGTTTCAGGCATCATTCTGGTATTACTTGGAATTGATCTTGTCTTGCTTGTAGGTACTCTTGCTTGTGGATGTTGCTTTTGCCCATAAATGAATTGCATACAACAGTAGAAATATTATTTTATTTTATGCAATATTATTAATACTCATCCACAAAACAGTCAGGATAATATATGTTGATATAGCTTTTGAATTGATGATTCACTAATTAAACCGCATACTAAAATACTATATATAGATATATATTATATTCACGTTTATGTTGAAAAACTAATAATCAAGTTGATAAATACTTTTACTTACACCATACACCACTTGTGAAAACAAAATGTGTAACTTTATGATAGATAATAATTTAAAAGTATAAATAAAAGTATTGATTTTGGGTTTGATTCCCCACAACATTTTGGTCAAAACGGATGGATATGATCATTAGGTTTTAAATTAAAATCAGCCAGTTTTTTTTATTGATTTTGACCCAAATGATTACATGATTAATATAATTGTTACTATCCCAGTATTATGTAGATAAGTTTCATCGATTTTCTGGTTCAACCAGCCTTAACGGTTTCATCTATGTTATTATGTATTCCAAGTAAGGACAAGAAAGAGCGACACCTCCTCTAGATAAAGAGAAGAAAGAATATAATGACGGTATCTCATTTTTGAAACCCTTCCTGGTATACAAATAATATTGCTCAAATGAGTAATACTTCATGTACACCAACGCAGTACATCAAATATTATGGTATTAAGTTTGTCATTATTATTTTTGGGTTTTATAAAGTTATCTACTTTTATGTTAAAATTAAATTATTGACTCCATCACTTCTTGCAGATGTGGATTGATAGAATTTTGATAGCACTGGCTAAAGCAACAATAATATGCATCAGTATATCTATGCTTCACTTGTTTGGGGTGAAAAGTTTCACAAAAAAAGGGTATAAATTCTAAAATCTTCACACTTGTCATTGTAGAATTTAATTTAAAAAAGATCTAATATCATTGTGATAATTGTGATAATTGTTGTTCTCTTAGCCATTCCATAATTAATTTTTTTCTTACAACATTTATTGGTGATGCAGCTATTGATCTGCAATGGTAGAGGAAATTTATACAAATTAAAAGATGGAGCATAAAGAAAGAAAAGCAAACAAGTACTCAAGTATTCTTATATCACGTGTACTGAATGAGAGAAATAAAAGAAACAATAAAAGGTATAAAGAGAAAAGGACAAGTGTTGTAAAGATCTCGTTCTTTGAAGATCTTCAATTGTGGAGGATAGGAATCTAAGGTGATCCAAGCACTTGAAGACAAATTTTGTTTCAGAACATCAAAAGAAATTGCCCTTTATGTGTATTGGAAAATGAAGTTTGAACAATGAAGTGTCCCTAGAATCATCATAGCGTGTAGTAAAGAGGAAAAGGCTCTTCTTGCTATCCTCCTTCACCTCCTTTTACCCTAAAAAAATCCCTTATATGTGAGCCCTAATCTCATCACAGTCATCATAACCTAAGGTGGAGGGTATTTTTCAAACCTAGCTTTGCTTCAAGCCAAATTGCCCATTCTAAAAATCTTCTTGGGTGGTGTTTTCCATCTAAAAATAGTATCCTATGGAACTAAGAGGGGCTCTTTTGTCTTTTTGGTTGAGAATGTTGGAAGGGTATTTCTACCCTCCTATAATATATGTGGTGCTCAAATTGTTCTTCCTAGGCACTATCCCTCAGATCACTACCACAACAGAAGCATCAAATATTAAGGACGGTACAAATTTGTTTTTCCTTGTACATTTTATAAGTTAGTACCATCTTCCATGTTGTCCATGTTGGTGAAGGAAGCAGTACTAATTGCATTTTGTAAAGTTTTTATTAATCAGCGTACACATTTGTGCCTGGCTCCCTGTATGCCATTTGCAAAGCTCATCACGATGGTGATGCCTTTATGGATGGCGTACGAGGAGTCAAGCATGTGGTGTATTGCTCATTAAGGGAAATCGAGTAGAGATAATATTCTTTAATGAAATCGAGTTTGTTCTTTTAATCCAATTAGGGTTTTAAATTGAGGTTGTGGGTGTGGATTGTGTTACCTTGTGTTTACTGAAACATGTGTTTACAATTGTGTCCATGATGCTGTAGGGAAGTCTCATAAAATCACAATTTTCTGACTCTATTGTAATGGTATGGTGTAATTTAAAACAGTGATCTAGTTACATTCATCATCTATTGGCCTATTTTCTGTTAATTTTGTTATTTATATATCTACATCATACTTTTATGTTAACATTTTTTAGTCTCTGCGTGTAACTTCATAAGAAGGCATAGGTCTTAAAATAACATTTTGGGTCTCTTAGACTCTTAACATATATACTTCTTTAAAACTTTTAACAGCATTTTCGGTCCTTTATTCCTCAGTTTTAGGGAGGGATTAGAATATGAATAAGGCTTGTCATAGGTGTTCTAACTTTTCTTGTTTGGGTTCCGTTAACTATGCTAAAGTGAATCAGATTTGTCTACCTGAGTGTCTTGGTCTAAAATGCCACGGTCTTGTGTTTACATAGTAGATAAGTAGGTTTTATTGTGTAGTTAACAAAGAAATCTATATTTGCATTATTTTTATTTTTATAGTGATCTTATCATCTAAAAGGTTAATTTGACTTCTGCTTTCTCCATTGTTTTCTTTGTTGTGTTGCCATTTTTGTTCTCCTTGATTATTAAGGTCTATGCTTTACTTGTATCATTATTCATTGTGAACTAGAGATAGCAGCCTGGTTTTGCATCATAGACTTGTAAGGGTTAGTTTGGGAGTTGAGTTTTGGAAGGAAAGGAAGGGAAAGGAAGGCTTTGGAACAATCTAACCAGTGTATTTTATGGCTCCCAAACCTTCCATTCCCCTTCCTTTCCCTAAAAAATTCAACTCCATAACTAACCCTAAGTGTGTGATAATAATATAATGTAATGAACCAAAATTTAACTACAACTAGAACATATGCAGATCAAAATTCCAAATTTAGTCAATAATGAATTCTTTAGCAGACAATTAAAGGGCTAAAAGCTAATTCTAAATTTTATATAAATTAAAATCTATTAGTCTTTTTCATAAATTATTTTCTAAACTTGACAAAATCATGTCAAAAGAAACGTTATTTATTGTTCTTATTGGTCTCTTGTTTATAAACATCACCAGTTTCTATACCTTGTGTGCTTGCACATTTAACGTTGTGTAGAAGAAAGTTGAGATAAGTTGGGAGAATGACTCATGGCTTAGGGTTCTTTCTTACCCATGATAGAAAATGAAGGAGATTTTGTATTTTAACTTTGATATCATGATCCCAATATTAAACTGCAATAAGATAAATAGTCTAATATGCATATATATCGCACTAAGGATTATTATTGAATTTGCAGCACCGAAAATATATTGAGTATTATTGTTCAACTAGCAGAGCTATATGAAACAGAAGCTGAAAAAAGAACAATCACCCCCAACAAAAAAAGAGCCAAGAACAACACAGCAGAAAGAACAAGAACAACCCCAGGAAAGCCAAAGAATATTTGCATGACACATGTCTTCAAGCCATTATTTAATAAAGATCCCCAATATAATTTCTTCATCACACCCTTCAAAAGTTATATCCAGGGCCTTTCTCGTTCTCCATTTTCCCTTTATTTTTCTTTCTTAAAGATTTCAAACCATGAAGGATCTGTTTGTGAGTTGAATTTTGGAGGGCAATGGATAAAAATATAAGGCTAGAGTGAAAAGAAATACACTTGCGAGATGACTTTAAAACTTTATTTTTCTTCACCTTAAAAGTTCAACTCACAAATAGACCATTTTGCTTCGAACTCCATTGGCTATTAGCCCTCCCACCCTTGTGACTGATACATTATGTTTGATACCAGTTACCAGGCTAGCTACGCTATGGTTTGGCCATAATTAATTCTCTAACACGTTTTGCATGCATTAAAGTATAAGCATAGATAACATTTCAGTTGGAAATATACAATATTACCAAGGCGCAAGAAAAGAACTATGAAACAAAGTTCTCTTTTGCAACTTGTCCAAATAAAGTTTTGTATAATATTACCCTAAAACGTTATCAGTATAAAACATGCATGTAGTACTCTCGAGCTTTATGCAGATCATTGGAAATAGAGCTACTGGTACCATTTTACTTGAATACATAATCTAATCTGATATATGTGTGCAGTGTTTTAAATTGCAGACCGCATCACCCGATGCGGCCGCAATATTGCGGTTGCGGTGACCGCCGCAATCGCATCACACCGAAATTGCGGTATGATTCCAAATCAAAATAATGTAGCTGCATCGGGGTACAACGTAACCGCATCGGACCACATTTGGATTGTATCAGGCCCATCGGGCCGCATCAAACCGCATTGGATTCAAAAATATTGTTTTAATCACAAAATAATCCACACCGCAACAGCCGAAATCCGCATCGCAATGGCTGCAATCACAATAATTGCAACCGTTACCACATTCGCGACTGCAACCGCAATTTAAAACAGTGGGTGAGCCTGAGGGAGAATAAACCATAAACCTTATACCACCCTCCAAAGGACCTAGGTTTCTTTTGTTCTATGTTTTGTGATTATAACAAACAAATTAATTAATATAACTCCCAGGTTAAAAGCTACAGTATGAAATAACATAGACAAATGAATGAGCTACTTTAGAAGACATAATAAAGAGAGAATTTATACTGGTTCGCCTGAATTCATAAGCTACCTTCAGTTTTTTGCAGTATTAACTATTAAGTTTCAACTAGCCTCTTCAAGATCTACAAATCCAAGTATTATTTGGTAGGTAAAATTAAAGATTGAATGAGAAATTGGAATTTAAATCCTATCTTCGCTATTTGTCACAGATTTGTGTTCCATTTATATGAATTCTTTCCTACCCTAATTATTTATATGGTAATTTTTATTCAACAATTACTTGATATAAATTAGGAATTGTTATTTAAACATATTTAATGTTACAGCTAGTTTTTACGAATAAAAATATTTTATTTTTAACAAAATATATTTATCAAGATTATGTACTGCCCTAATCATTTATATAATAATTTTATGATGATTTGGAAATGTTTCTTTATGAGGTTTTACCGTTTCACCATTTTATATGTAACTTTAAAGGGAAGAAATATATATTTTATCTCATTTATAGGCCTCAATTATATTCTTATCCATTATTAGTCTTTGACACATGTCATCTTCTCATGCAAAGTTTTCTCAGCCAAACATCCCACCAACTAACATGCATAGTCCCACATTGTATCATTATCATCTACATTCATATCATACATCAAACCATCAACTATCATGCATAGTCCCACATTGTATCATTACCCTCTACATTCATATCATATATCAAAATAACACATGCATGTCATATTTATTAATCCTTCATTTTTTCTACCAAACACTTAATCATATTCACATATTCTCATATTCATTTTCCATCCAAAAATCTTTCTTCATTTTCACTAAATCAATTCTTATATTTCTTCTTTTCCCCAAAATCATATTCTGATTAGCAATTCTCTTATACTATTATGCACATTAATTATAATATTATCATATTAATTTATATTAAAGATATATGAGTTTAGGGAAACAAAAATAATTCTTATCCTATTATGTTGCTTGATTATGTAAAAACAAAAATAATTCTTTAAATTCTCATCCACATTATCCCGAAAATGATGAACTATCTGTAACAAAAATCACAAAGTCAGAATAATGAAAAGCTTTGAATGAGAAATGAAAAAAATTAAAGTATGATGTAATATAATGTTACCTAAGAAGAAAAAAAAGAATCATGAGATTGTAAGGATTATCCTATTACGCATGTTGGGAACAAGCGATCAATCAAATAGTAAAAGAGAAGAGAATAACACAATGAATTTGGTAACGGGGTTCAGCCAATTGTGCCTACATCCCCGGGAGCGTTGAGCGGCTACCAAGATATTATTAGAGAATAAGGATTACAAACTCTCACACCCATGGGTCCAACTGCCCATGGGGTGCTTATATCTAGTGCTTATATCTGGTGCACATTACAACAAGGGACCTGAGTCCAATATATAATATTGGTTACTCTACTTTATTCCAATCCATTTGGTCCATACCATCTGGTTTATTCTCACGCAGCGCCTTTGATAGACCTTGTTGAGCCAACACATCCATAACTCTCTTTTGCCACAATCCAAAATTACTAGTTCCATCGAACTTCCCCACCTCGAATTTGGCACTTGGGTTAAGAGCCATCTGATACCAACCTGGCTCTGATACCAATTGTTGGTGTAGCGGAAGCGAAAGTTGTGCAGCATTGGTCACAAAGCAATCAAATAATGCATAGAATAAATAGAAGAGAAGAAACAAAGAATTTGGTAACGGGGTTCGGCCAATTGTGCCTACGTCACCGGGAGCGCTGAGCGGCTACCAAGATATTATTAGAGAATAAGGGACAATCTCCACCTTGATTGAATTAGACGAATATCTCGCTCCTTAGGAAATCTACACAAGATTCTCCACCTTAGCGAATATTTGCCTCCACCTTGCTTAATGCATAATTCTCTTTAACAAATTGCTCCCCTTTATCATAAACTAAGTATCATTGACGATGTTAGCAAGAGCCTAGCTCTTCAAACTTTTAGTGCACATTCCTGGTACCGCCATCAAATGGAACATGCCACCTAGCCACCTTATTGCTAGGAAGTCTTTCGATATATGGAATCTCTACACAAAAGTTCACCAACAACCGTCCTCTTCAATACTCAGCCAAACTGAACCTTGGAGCTTCCTTGGAAAGCCTCGACCGCTATCACCATTGTCTAGCCCGACAATCATAATTCAAAAGAACTATCATACTCCACCATAAGGAGTATACCCACAACACACACCTTGCTTAATGCTAACCAATGCCCGTGCCACATCCTTGCATC